AGATGCAATTTAGTTGATGAGTGTAGACAAATCGGTGATGCATAAGAGGGATGCATCATATTACACCAGAAAAAATGATAGAATATTAACATGCAAATGTGGATTGTGAAATCAGGATCGTAATTTCTACAATAAGCATGATTGTACAAATGAACCGGGACAGCCACACTGATGCTAACAGATCGTGAGCACACATTGCGGTGGCGGCGGGGGGGGAGGCGCTGTACGGGGCCTCGTGGCGCGAACGGCTGACTGCTGTTGGTCAACGTTCAAGTCCGCGGTAGACCAAAGGAGGAAGGAATGAATGAATGCATGTGGACAAATAGAGGCACATTGGTAAGAAAAAGAATCCGATATTAGGCAAGGGAAGTAGGATAAAAATACATGAAAAGTTACCAATGAGATGTGTTGACATAAAAAAGAGTGAGATGAATGATTGGATCGGAATGTGTGTGTGTGTGTGTGTGAGGGGTCAGAAAGTGGAAGTACAAAAGACAATGTGACGCGAGGGGAGGGGGCAGAGTAAGTTCAAATGATCGTTTGGATTCTCATCTGCGCACGAGTTGGCCCCTTTACATTTCTGTGAATCCTCACAAAATCAAACTGACCAACGCTCTCGAGGTGTATACTCCGGAGCATACACCCAGAATAAGGAAGAACGCAGCCAGCATTCCGGCCAATTCCGCACGTTCCGGCGCACAGCTCCTACAGACGAGGAATAAGGCATGACAAGCGATAAGGGAGAAAGAGGTGGAATGAACCAGAACAAAATTTCGAATAGATAATTTTCCTAGTTCCTGGAATTTGACAAAAAAACAAGTATATCAATAATGGTAAGGTAGTGGAGGGCGACCAATACAAAGGAGTCAAAAAACGAATGGAACAACAGAGCATATATGAACCAGAGGAAGTCAGTCGGAAGAGACAGAGAACGGTTGGCGATCGATACTTGCCTTGTTGCTCGGGTAATAATGTCTCATGATAATACCACAAATTAATGAACAACGACTGAAGATCATCAACAAGTTGTTGAGGCTCATTTTGCTGGAAAATGTCCCCGATAATGCGGGAATTAGACATGGCTCATCCTCACTGATCGACGTTTCGTTTGTGGATATCCAGTGAAGCAGCATAAAAACACGTGATCATGATCCGAATCAGTGTGCATATGTAGGCGGGGCTGGGGGCGGGTAAACAGGGATGACAGTCCCACTTCATTACTGTTCTCCCGAACACAAAATATCCAATCGATTATTTAGTGGTCAAGCTTCACAATTTGCATGTGCAGTTGGCAACCGGTTTCGAAAGATCGTACTGCTAAGCTTCCGTACACACAGATGATGATGATGATGACCTAACAACCATCTAGGGATATTTTCCCGTTTAGCAAGTATGAATTCACGGGTGCCCTGCTCTGCCAATGGTTTCCAAAATGGAAAATATCAATCAGAATGGATAGCTTAAACAGACAGACATAATGAAAATTAGCGTTCAAATGAGTTCAGATGGGAAAACGCATTAATATTTAAAATATCCGATCGGCGCGAAACTTTGGGGAAGTTGTGTTCAATGCGAGTAGTACGGACGAAGCATGTGGCTAACGTCCGAATTCGTTTCCTTGTTTGTGTGTTTTTATGCAACATTGAGGGTTTGTTTTGAATATTTGGTATGGAATAAATGAAGAGTGGAATGAAAAGTACTGTAGAGTCGTTTCGACCTGGTTCAACCTCATCAGGATTGCGAATCGATCGACCCAACTGAAAATCGAACCAGGGACCTCACAAGTAGGACGCAAGCACACTATTCACTTGATCACCGGGAAAACGATCAGGCGCTTTCTCTCACTCTCTGGCTACTCTAATGTAAGTAGTCAAGTTCGGATTGTTTCAAACCGAGTCAACCCTGAGGGATAGCAATCAGATAGGCGAAATCTGATGTCAATATAAAGCTCCTAAAGATGGATTATGCTATATCCTGTACAGGTAAAACGAAAAATGGTCTGATAAACTGCCCGGTAGTCAAGTAGTTTGCTGCTAGCCTGCATTCTGTCTGCTTAGACCAGTGATCGATCCCCCGTTGTGGCGATGGACTCACGCTGTTGATGAGACTCAATTAGGCCGAAACCGCTTTTTGGTTCACGCTTTACTTGCTCTGTACACGACAAAAATATCGTCAGATCATATTGTTTTCAAGTATTTCATAATAATGTCAGAGGCAAAGGTTTTCAGTTCCCGGTTGCAAGGTATTTGATGGGAGAGCCAGTAGGAACACATAAAGAGTGGACAGTGCTGACCGGTATAGACAAAGACCAAATTTTTTTCAGTAAAATTTCGAAATTTTAATTGCGAACACGTCGGAAACAACAGTAGCAGTAGCAGTGCGATCTTAGCACCGATCTAGATACCTTAAGAAAGTAAATGCTGACAGTGAGGATTGCAAAAAACTTTCCAACATGAATCATTTTTTGCGCGCTACCTCACACATCCGAATTGGACAATGCCGATGGGGGATGCGTGCGAGCGAACAACCCTCACAGACAGATTGGCGTGTGTACTTGAACATGATTGGTAGCGTGAAATTTTGTCTACTAATACGATCACAACTATTGATCGATCGGTTCAAAATGTAACCCACAATGGGGACTGATCTCCAGCCGTAGTCGCACAATAAAATCGTTTGTGAACGATGTAAATTTCCCAATTCAGTCTGCAACAAACAATCTCGACAGGAGACAACACCAGACACGA